CAGGTAGTACAGTGTTGAAGTGGTTGGACCCAGTGGTGATTCAGAGATAGAGGCACCAGTGGTGTTGTGGAAGAGGATTGTAGTCAGTGGGTCAGAGAGTGTGTGTGTGTGTGTGTGTGTGTGTGTGTGTGTGTAGGTAGGCGGGCGGGCGGCTGGGTGAGTGGGTAGGTGAGGCTGGCTGGGTGGAGGGACGGAAGGAGAGTCTTCTTCAGGAAGGAGCCTGGAAGTCTCATCCACCATGTTCCTCGCAGTGGACAGCTGGCACTCACTGCCATCCCCGCTGCCTCCTGCTTGGCTGCAACCCCCACCGGCCCCACCTCTTCTCCAAGGCAGGAAAGAAGAAATGTGTTCTTCAGAAGTCTACGGAGTAAACACGAGCTCTCCACAGCTCTGTCTTTAAAAACAAGCCTGTGAATGAAAATGTGTCCGAGGAAACGGATCCACGAGGTTCATGTGCCACCTGCTGCAGTTCTGAGGAGTGTTCCACTCCGCGGGTGGCCCGGATGGACAGGTGCTTCTCTGGGCTCCGTGAGACCCACCAGGCACCATGGATTCTGCATCAGACGCGTCCCTACAAGCTTCCCGATGCCGAAAAGGCCGAAGCGCTGTGATAGCAGCGTGAATGGCTAACCTTTCCTCCCCTAGGTCTCCAAAAAGAGAAAATGCTTGACTGAATATATTTTTAATTTTAAAAACTCTCCGAAATGTTTACTTCGCTTCAACTTTCTCACTTTGGTCATGCTGTTCTTTCTCTCTTAATGCCACAATCTACGGACGAGTCATCCTGCTTCAAGCGGAAGACAGAAATCTTCTAACGCTAAAAGGGAGCCCCCCTCTCAAAAACTCTTAGTGTGAAAAGCCGAGGGCTGCGGGAGCTGAGGCCTCCCCTGCCTGCCTTCCCCGCCTGCCCAGCCCCGGGCCCGCCTCCAGGCCGCGCGGTCTGTACCTGCAGCAGTCGCCCCGGTCTCCCCTGCCCACAGAGGGACCCCTCCCAAGGGGGAGGCGGCCAGAGCCCGGGGGGGGGGCGCAGGGCACCCCTCTACAAGGCCCAGGAAAGGTCTCCTCTGAAAGCGTTCTTTTCAAACCAGAAAGGATGGAAACGGACACTGTCACAGCTGAGCACAGCTGACGCCAAGCACAGCAACACCGTGCCACAGGTGCTCGAGCGTGCTCCACCCCGGGCCAGACGGCCCCCTCAGAACCACCGCCGACCGCCACAGCCAGCCACTGCCCAGGGCCCCATCCACGGGCAGACACAAAGGAGCCGTCCCCATTGTTCCCTCTTCCTCAGCGGCTGAGTGGAGTTTCCACCCGCCCCCAGCAGGAAAGCTGTTCCAGGACCTGTGGCCTGTGACCCCAAACCCACAGTGCTCACCAGGTCCCCAAGGCTTACACACTGGCCGGGTTCCCTAGGGCATCGCCTTGAAAACCCAAGGGGAAGCTCTGAGCCTTGGGTCTCTGACCACGCCCACCAGAACACCCTGCAACCCGGACGGCCCGGTGCGCAAGGCACAGCCTTGGCCCAGCAGCTCCTGGGGGGCGGACGGCGCCAGCAGCACATTCAGCGCGGGGCGGACAGAGGGCACCGCAGTGACACAGCCAGCTCCTCCAGCACCAGGCCGGTCCCCAGCCCCGCGCGCTCTCACCCATGTGCCCCTAGCCGCGCTCCCCATCACCAGAGGCCCCCACTGGGGCGGGAGGAAGAAACAAGAACGCTTCCTTGCTCAGCAAGAGCTCAGAAAAGACACTGCATTGTTATCAGCCTAACTGGAAAGGTCATGAGCTGCTTCCTGCCAACAGGGACCAGGCCATACCTGGTTTTCAGTACAGCAGCTTTGGGACCACCCCCCACTCCCAGGAGAGTGCACTAGCAGGTGGCAAGGCATCAAAGCAGGGTGCTGGGTGGCGAGGGTGGGGTAGGGGAGGAGGAGGGGGCCATCAGCACAACAGAGCCCCCATGTCCCAGGCCCGGTCCCAGACGAAGGCGCCCACGCAGACGGGGCTGACCAAGGGACGACAACACGGCATGCCACGTGCCCGCGGGGACTCTGGCACCTTCTTCTGCCTGGTGCAGCTGCCTACTGCGGCCACCATGCCCCACACAGAGCCACAGGAGCCGGGCCCACTCGGCCCTTCCTCAGTGGTGCCAACCAGGCGGGAATGGCAGGAGCCCGGGACAGGGACCTCTCCCGAGCCGCAGACCACAGTGCACCTGCAACCTTCAGAGTCACAAACGTTTGAAAAGAATTCACATTTTCTCTGAAAGAAAGCCCAACACATTTGTCTTCATCCTAAAAACGGAGAAGGGTCCTTCTGCAGAAAGCGTCAGCAACTTCCACACAAACGGCGCGCCCCTTAGGGCCTCCTGGGGCCAGCTTTGTTCAAAAGATACTGCTCAACAAAAACCTAGGAAAAGAGTCTGAGGTCACGTCTAAGAGAACAGGAGTCACATCACCAGCCCTGTCATTAGGAGCGCACCTAAGCCCACGTGACAGTCACAGAG